TCTTCTTCTTCTTCTTCTTCTTCTTCTATTCCACACAAACTACAAACGACATCTACCAAATTGTTTCTTACCTTGTTTATCATATTATTTCAATTAACAAAATAATCAGATTTTTCTTAATCGATTTTATTTACTAATTTAATTAAATTATCGTAATTGACTACACGTTTTTGATGTAAATTACGATAAATTAATTATCTTTTATTTTAGATAATCAAGATACTCGTGTATTATTCACTTCTATTTTAATTATAAACTGCACGAAATTCTTTTTGAATTTTTTTATTTCGGGTTAAAATATTTTGCATATTTAAAATATCAAATAACCTAAGGAAGATAGTTTGTGTTATTTCAGATGAACGATAAACTCGTCAAGAACTTTCTTAGGCTACCTAATATCATTCAAAATAATCATAACACAAAACATAAAAAAATAAAATATGATAGACTCGAATGCTCTACGAACTTTGACGATGTATATGAAATATAAGAAGAGAGAGGGAGAGAGAGAGATAGAGGAACTCTCGTTCATGGCTCCTAAAAGGCGCCGATGGCTCGCAGCGTGTTACGATGATGGTGTTGGTAGTTGTGTTAGTGGTAAGATATAGAAGTAGTTTAATAGTAGTAGTAGTGGTAGAGATGGTGGTTTAGCGCGTGGTAGGACGTATGGCCTCGTGTACGGTTGCTGGATGCGTAAGACTGGAAGCCTATACGTCTTACATGCCCTGAGGCTTCCAAAGTCGAGTCTCTTCTTTGCTCCTGTTGTACAACATGCGTGCGTGCGTGCGTGCGTACCTGCATACGTGTAAAGCTCACTCGCGCGCAAACCTGCGTGTCTAGACCAATACGCATTCGTTTGCTGATGATCGTCAGCACGCTTACTTCTTCTTCTTCTTATTATTATTATCTTTTATACTTCTTATTATTCTTATTCCTCATATGGAATCTGTTCTTTCTCTCTCTCTCTCTCTCTTTCTCTCTCTCTCTTTCTCTTTCTTTCTCTTTCTTTCTTTCTTTTTCTCATCTCATCAATCGACGTGGTAGTTCTCAACGCCTACAGCCATTTCTATATCATTCGATACCATCGAATATTAGTGACGTGTGTTGTTTACTTTTAATTGAGAATTTAATTTTGACGGATTGAAATTAATTTGACACCATTCGTAACGTAAACAAAAAAATTGTTATTTTTTGTCATCAAACTCATTTTTAGTTTAAACGAAGTTTATGGTGCTTTTTAAGGGAAGAAACTTTTCAAACCCACCCTTCGAAACAATCGCGATTTTAAACAAAATATTTGTTTAATGTAATATATGATAATAATAATAATAATAATAATAATAATAATAATAATGTCTTTATATTTTGCTAAACAGCCACTACTATAACTTACAATTAGTTTATTATTATTTAATAATAATATTAAACGATCTTATTAATTTAGTATTTCTATTACTCGTAAATTAAAAAAAAATGACTTTTCTAAAATAAATTAAAAATTAAATTAAAATATATATATATATGATGTTATCTTGTTATCACGAAAATATTATACTAATAAAATTTAATAAAAATATTAGAAATTCTTTTGTTCTAAGAAAAATTTGTAATAAAATTGATAATTATATATTAAAAGAGTAGGAGTTTCGAATATAAGTAGAGAACAAGTTTCATTTCCAACTCGACGACGTTTTCATCGAGATTAGAAAAGAATGATCGTCGCGATGCTTATCTATCTGCTTGGTTACGAGCCATGTAATTAAATTACTTCACTCAAAGAGAACTGCGAAAAATTCAACTTGCTTTAATCGTATCTCCTTCGATATTGAACGAGCTAGGTGGCTAGCTTATGCTCGCATCATAAAAGTTATTGGTTTCTCTCTCTCTCTCTCTTTCTCTTTCTCTTTCTCTTTCTCTTTCTCTTTCTTTCTTTTTTGTCTCTTTCTCTCTCTCTTTCAACGACGTAATTACAGACACGATAACTCATCGGCGTGTGTGCACGTATCCGCGCGCACGCTGGGTATATATAGCTAATAACAGTTTGCACCTTTAGCCGGTACTAATTAACGTTTCCCACGCGCGTACCATTAATTACCATCCTTTCGATAAAAAGACGACCTCATTATCTTAAACACTGGGTTTCGGCAACAACTCAGATTCATCGATTCGCGAGAAACAAGGGAGAGATCGTTTTTATTACATCCATTGAATTATTTCACGCCTTTCTTTTACGATCAACTAATTTTTACACCTTAAGAAGAAATACAAAAAAAAAACATATGATTAATCTATCGATTTCTTTTTTGTGTCATACGAAAAACAAATTGATAGTGTAAAAATTATTTAAACACCTAATTTACCTAATTTAATGAACGTAAGTATTACACGTTACATATTTTTAATAAAAATTTTTTTATACAAGTAATTCTCTTAAAAGTCATAAAAATATTTTACACACGCATCTTTTAAAATATATCTTATTAAATAAAAAAATTTAACCTAAAATAGAAAAACATCTCAATTAACCCCAATAAGTACATATACTTATATATATATATATATATATATGCCTATATGTATGCGTATGTGACAATCAATTTTCATACGATATACATATCAAATTTAATACGATATACGATATTTGAAGACATAATTATGAAAAATAATTAATTGGAGCATCATTAGAGATGATAANATTTGATTTTCTTCATAATATAGTATTACATTATAGACAATCGATAAAGTTTTAATCTGCCAGTGCTTATTTCGTTCTAGATCTTGGATAAAAGATAGTAAGAAAGACACCCGTGACACGGACGATTAATTTTTAATGATAGCCGTGAAAATGCTTCTCCCTGTAGCCACCACGGTTAACATTCAATCTCAAGAATTTAATCTGTGCTTTCTCGAGCGAAAACGATGAACCAACCCATGGAAAGAGAAAGAGAAAGAAAAAAAGAAAAGAAAAAGAGGAGGACCTTTCCTTCTTTAAAAAACCGAAACGACGCGTTAGGAGCTTTAACTTCCAAATGGTACGAAGGAAGGAGAGAAGTGTAAAAAAGATTAGTAAGAGGGAGAAGAAAGCAAAAGAACGAAAAGAAAAAAAAAGAAAAAGAATAGGAGAAGGTGAAGTGAGATGAGGTGTTGGTTGAGGGGGAAGGGAAGGGAAGGGGAGGGAACAGGGGAGGTAAAAGATGTCGTGGCTTGCGATCGAGGGCGGTGAAAAATTCTCCAATTAAAAAAATCTCATTTCTCCCGTTAACGAGGGGTGGCTCGCAATTAACGTCCCAAGCGAAAATGATTTATGTGACGTTCAGGGAAGCGAGGAATGAAGAAGAAGGGTAGTAGTAGTGGTAGTGGTGGTTCTGATGGTGATTGTGGAAGTGAGGGTGGTCGTGTGGAAGAGGGATTGAGGGAAAAAGGGAGGTGTACGGTAGAAAGTGTATACCAGAACGAAGAGACCTTGCCAGTATGAGGCAAGCTTATCATAAATTAATGAATTATCAGAGGCCGAGTATTGCGAGTCGTCGTGAAGGGAGGCAAATCGTGCGCGGTGCGCCAATATGCTGTTTCAAATATTCATAGACCTCTACCACTACATATATATGTATATATATATGCTATAAGTAAGATATAAATATGTGTGCGTACGTATAACACACGCGTACGTAATATATATATATAGATGGAAAAGGAAACTCTGAAGCAACCAACAACCACCCTTACCCACCCATCTTTCCCCTTCTATCTCTTTTTCTCTCTCTCTCTCTCCCTCCCTCCCTCTCGCTATATTTATTCCTCCTAAAAGTTTTATGCTGCTATTTCGTACGAGACACGCGCGAGCTTCAACGTAGTAGCCCAGGTAGCAGATGGTAATGCGTAATCGTCTTCGCTTGTATACTATTAACACTCGGAGCACGAAACTAAGATATAGATATGGATTTGGAAAATTAATCTTTACAATTTTTATTATTTTTCTGTTCTTTTTTTTTCTTTTTTTAGTTCTTTTATCTATCAGTTTGATTAATAATCATGGAATTGCTCGTAAACCGCAAAATTTTTATTATTATCGATACACTTAAAACTATTGCTAAATGAGATAAAATTTGTATAGTCATTTAATTTCAAATAATACGTCAATGTTAAATCAAATTATTTTTGTTTTGCTGGAAGTTAATTAATTTAACGTATGAGTGAGAGTGATTAATTATAAGAATTTATAGCTGATCATAAACAATCGTGATTAAAATATTAAACGTGTTAAACTGACAATAAGATGTTGAGATGATAAAGTGAATAATAATAATAAAAAAAAAGGAAAAAAAATAGAAAGACAAGAACAAAAGATGCAGATAAAGTGAAACGATCAAGTTGGTACGTTTAACCGCATGAAAGACAGGATCACAGGTCGAGATACCGGTAAAAGAAACGAGAAGTATAATTCTACTATAACGGACAAGTTCAATCACCTTCGCTTACGCTCGCGAATAAGATTTAAAGAACGATTCTTGTCTCGTAGGAAATTATAAAGTCAACTCGGCTTCTGCCATCCTGTAATCGCTATCGCGCATTCCAACAATGCAAACTACGCCGTGATAATCCGCGATTCACCTCGACGCGTTCTTTAACCTTTCTTTTCTCTCTCTCTCTCTCTCTCTTTTTAACTCTGATCGCGTCATTTCTATCTCTGTCACTTATTCTCTTTCATACTTAAGTGCATTCATAAAAAAGTACTCTTTTTCCCTGTTATATTTAGAACAATTGTATTTTCATTTTACCCTCCTTTGATTTATTTCTTTCTATTCAATGATCGAAGCGAATTCAAATTAAAAAATCTATTTGATTATACCTAATAATCATTTATAATAAATATCATGTTTTAAATAAATAATTATTATTCCGACAAAAAAGATTTGAAATAATTTCGAGCTTCTTCAAAAATTCGCGCCTCCGTTAACTCTCAGTTGTCGACTTGAAGATTCTTACCTTACCGACAGCGTTGATATACGTGACAAAGAAAAATAAGAAAATTTGTTGGAAGTCACGCCAGGGTGCGTCAAATGCGTCCGCCAACATGGCCACGTGCTAACGAGGGACGTGTTTACGCGAGAGCTAGTGTAAAAGAGAGAAAGAGAAAGATATCCGAATGAACTTGAGTGAGAAAGAGATATATATATATATATACATATATAGGGAAAAAGAGGGAAGAAGATATAGGCGTCACCGTTGTACATAGATTTTAAACGGCACATCGTATAAATCGTCTATGGTGATTGGTTCGTGTTCCTAGTCATGACGACATAGAAATAAATAAAGAAAAATAAAGATAAAAATAATGTTCTTGTATAATTCTTGATCGCGTTTTAAAAAATACGTCCTCGTCGTAGTTGTCCCCGAGGTCGTCGTGTTGTTTTGTCGTTGCCGTTTCTCATCGTAGTGTTGGTGTTGATGTTGAATATGGCGAAGAACACTGACGAACCTAATCGCCAACAACTCTACAGGTCTACCTGCTGCAAGGATAAAACTAAAGAAAATGAATTTGACGATGAGCAATTAACAAAACGTTTCGTTAATTCTTGCACAAGCTCATCATCGATTGCAACTACCACCACAAGTACAAATACAAATACAACAACAACGATGATGTCAACAACGGTTTCAAGAAATTATCGTCCACGTGGAAGCTTGGCAAGAATTCTTTATGATAAACAAAGAGCCGACGAGAGATTAGATGCCTATGACAAAAGACAGGTTAGTTTTTATTATTAGATAATATTGATATTAATTGATTTCAATTAAACGAAAAATGTAGGTTATACTGTGAAACTAGCTAATGTAAGACAGAGTCATCTGCTTTTCGTCCTTTATCAGAGACGTTCAATGTGAAACTCTCCTCTTATGCGGTTGCGCCTGCGTTTTATGATTCCCGCCGCCTGAGGTCACGTCTGTCCTTTCAGGAACGTACTCGACTAATTTCGGTACCCTTTCTTTATTTTTTCTTCCATTAACTTCAAAAATATTGTAAAATATTTAAAAAAAAAAACGTATATTTAAAATAATGTGTATCTATGATAACAGAACATTATTCGTATCGCAATTGGTCGAGTTAATAAATTTTTTTAATTTTTAATTTTAAAAGGGACAGAGTTGTGATCCATTTAATTTTATGACGATTATAAATGAAATTTATTGTATTACTTTATTATTTAAAAATTAGTATTAAATTATATCAATTATCTGTGATAGGTTTAATCTTAAAAGCTTTAATGATTAATTATAAAATAATATTTATAACAATAATCGTATGAAAAATCATGATAAACACTGTTAAATCGAACAATTGAATTTTTGATTAAATCGGATTTATCAACCCAACAAAATCTCTTACAATTAGATTTAATCGTTCAACACAACAAGCTGATAAAATTTATTTGCTTGTTTTCACAAATACACACACACACATACACACGATGTTTATTAAAATACGAGTCGCGTATTACGCACGCTATCGCTTATATTTAAGTACTCGTGTGAATCATCCATAAAGATAAATTATATTTATCCCTCTCGACGCAAAAAAAAATTATTTTATAGCCTGCTAAACAAATAATAATAATAAAAAAAAAAAGAAATTTTACTCCAAAAGTAAAAATTATGTTGACGATAAAATTTGCTGTATGAATTCTCTCAGTCTGCTCGTACATTTTTTTTTTCTTTTTCTTTTCTTTCTGGAGAATTTTAACGAAGGTCGATCCCTTAATTTTATTATTCTTTTCTTTTTTTTTTACAAAGAAACGAGCTCTCTTTGAAATCTGACACACACGAACGCATAAACATACACACACACATACACACACACAATTTTAACCAAACAGTAGATAATTGTTGTCGAAGAGGGTGGGTCGAGAGGAGAGGAATATAAGAAGAGGGAAGTGGAGGAGGAGGAGGAGGGAAATGCGAGATCCGTGTCGAGGTAGAGGAAAGAGGAAAGAGGAGATAGTAATAATTAGTACAATTACCGCACAAGGCCGACCACCGAGTCTATCCTCGCTTTTCTCAGACGAACCTTCTCGAGAGTCAAGACCGTGCTCGGTAATTATGGTATAATTACGTCCTCGATATTCCTGAAACATCTCCGAAAGCGCCTCCAGCATCTTGTCGAAGTCTGGTTCCGCGTGAACCAAACATGGGTTCAAACCCCCCACCCTATTTACAATTGTAACGTCTTTTCTACGCTTTTGATTTTTCGTATCTATCTTTCAAAAGAATATTTCTTAGTAAATAAGTTCATATTAAATAGAAAATTAATAGAGATTACTATCCCATTAATAGCAATCTTAATTAACCCTTATCGGTCGGAAGTCACGTAAGAGGTGACTTAGAAATAACAAATTTTGTATTAATAATTAAATAATTTTTATTTTATTTTAGTACACGTTAAAAAAAATAAATCATTTTTAATAATAAATAAGTTATTTTTATAATATCAAACAATTTTGTTGCATATTTACCAAAACCATTTACAACTTGCACTTAGTGAAAATCATCAATTATAAAAATCTGACGATCGATAATGGTTAACTCTCTTATACGTGGGTTAAAAAGTTTTAAGTTTTATACAAAAACAATTTAAATATATAATAAAAAAAAAAAACTTATATATGTACTCGGTAGGATATTTTTACACGAGTCGTTATCTCTGCCTCGACCTAAAAACGAGTGAAATGATAAACAAATGGAGGAAAGTATAATGTAAGCGTTAATTAAAACACAATGGTTGCATTTAAAAGACAATAACAACAACCAAGTATATAAACGTTCGTTTAGATCTTTTCTAACAAAATAAAATATCATGTGTGCAGATCACACGTTTTAGAAGTGAAACCTTCAAAAAACTAAGTTTCGAGAGAATAAGACCAATGCACAGTTTCAAGAGTAAGATAATTGTAGGGTTTATTTATTATAATATTATTACCATATATAACAAAGGGCACTGGTATGATCTATGAGTAGAATAGCTGATAAAAACTACACTTTTCCAAATTCAAGCAATAAAAATTGATGAATGCGATAGTCATAGATAGACACAAAAATCGTAGGATGTTTATCCTACACATATATAAATGCATTTATGTGCACGTATGTAATATATATGTGTGTGTGTGTGTGTGTGTTGTTAGCTGCTATAGGAACGTCCAACGAAAAGATGGAAACTTATTAGAAACTTTATTTTGAATAAAGCAAAAAAAAGTAGAATGAAACTTAGTAAGTTGAAGTGTGTGTGTGTGTGGCATCGTACGAATATAAAAGGAAACAGCAGTGAACCGTATGGATTTTATGATTTTATAGATCCAAGGATCGATCTTTCGATCAATCGGATCCATAGATAGATATATAGATAGATAGATAGATCAAGATATGTTCGTAAAACTTCTAACCTCCTCTTTCCTCTTTCTTCTTCTTTTTTTACTTCCCTTTTTCCAAATCGAGCATGGAAAAACAATAACCCTCTTTATCTGGAACGTTACGAAGGTACTTTCTTCGACGGTGCGCGTAAATCGATTCGAAAGGTCGACCAAGACGCGTGGGCGTCACTGAGCGGATTCTCGCGTATATGAGAAGACCCTTTTCGTCTCTGGGATGGAGGTGTCTAAGGATTGAAGAAGAAAAAGGTAAAGGAGAAAGAAGAAGAAATTTGAAATTCGTGCGAAGGTTAGTGCTTGAAGGGTTTCCACGTTGAAATCGACGCTCTTCTTTGTCGTTCTCTTCCCTCTTCACCTCCTCATCTTCTTCTTCTTCTTCTTCTTCTTCTTCTTCTTCTTCTTCTTCTTCTTCTTCTCTCATGCCTAAAAATCTTCTTCAACGCGACGTCGTTTCTTTTCTTTCCCCCTTTTTCGGAAAAGAGAACTGCCGAGACGAGACGAGACGAGACCCTTCCGAATCCTTCGTCTAATATCCCTAAGCAAGTAACTCGCGCGAGAAGGAAAAAAGGTCTAAAAAGCTAGCGCGTATGTTTTAAGCTTTTAAAAATGGCGTCACAAGAGGAAAGGAGGACCCACGTCAGCTGTGCTTCCTACTGCGTCCTATCTTTATATATATGAAAGAGAGAGAGAAAGAATGATGGTTTGGATGCGGCACAGGGCGCTGCTTTGAAATATTAAGTGACTGATGGATGAGACTCCTGAGGGGAAAGCATCTTACTCTTATTTTTACTCGCCTATGCTTTTTCGGTTTCTTCTTTTCTCACTCCCTTATCTTTCTCTCTTTCTTTTTTCAGCCTCACTCACTCTCTCTCTCTCTCTCTCTTTCTTGCAAACTTTATAAATATTTTTTTCTCTCTTAACTTTATTCAGTTACTTCTATCAAGTTAATGTATTAATTAATTAATTATTTTATCTATTATTCGTACTCATCGTTAATATTGAAAATAAGAAATTTGATAATAATTATAATGTCGTGATTTGATACTATTTTTTATTAGGTTTTCAAACTAATCATATTTTAACAAATATTTCTTCATTTAATTTTCCTAGCTATCGATACCACCCCTCCCCTAACTTTATTTATTTATTAACCCTTATCGGTCATCAGATTTTTATACAAATGAGTTTCACTAACATAAGTTATTTATAATTTCGGTAAATATTAAACAAAAATATTTAATATTATATTATAAGAATAACTGTATTTATTTATATATATTTATATATTTATTTTTTCGAAAGAGAATACAATATAAATATATAAAATTAATAATTAATTAATTATTAATAAAATATTGTTACCTCTAAATCACTTCCCACGTAACTTACGACTAATAAAATTTAATTCATTTCTTTTGATATTTTTTACTATTAAAGATAATAATAATACTTTTTGTTAGTATAAAAAGCAAAAAAAAATATTTTAAATTATTAAATTATTAAATCGATTAAAGATCGACATTTGATTGACAAAAGAATAAAAATATATTTCACATCATCATCGTTCTTGTTGTAAGTAATACTTGCCTATCATACGAAGTGTTGCCGATAAAAAAAAAGATAAAAATAAAACTATAAATAAATGTGCAAAAAAAAAACAAAAGCAAAAAAAGATGAATAATATACACTAACCATCAGTAAAATCGGTCGATCTCGCAGCATCCTTGTTTGATCGATGTATGATAACCGGTCGAAGAGATAGATCGCGTTTATACGATAAACACGTTCCCGTAATCACAGTCGACACGCATGGCAGCCGCTAAATGACAATGTAAATAATGTCGTTGAACGATATTCATTAAATACTTTGCCGTTTTGAGAGGAACGTTCATGGTTAAAATAACCGTTATCGTGATCCGTAGAAAAAAAAAATAATAATATAAAGATTGTAAAGGAAGATAACGATAAAAAAATGAATCACCAATCGATTACGTTTTCAAGTGATTTACAACAAAATTTGAACACATAAGTCTATGGTGTTTTATTCTTGACACTTCCTCTTCTTTGCAACTATGAACATAAACAAATAACTGAAAATTCTTGAAACATAATTTGAACTTGTTAATATTTAAGATAACAACGATTTATCATTTTGAAATTTGTCAGTGTTTTTAATTTTGAAAAAAATTAGCAAAATGACTGTAAACTTTTGTCCATTGGGTATATCCGAAAAGGATCATCTTTTCTTTAATCTATTCGTATAATTTGATTGAATCTTTCTGAGGTTTATATTGGTATGTTTACATATGTATATAATGTATTTATATA